ATACAATAATAGTGGGAGATATCAACACTCCACTTTCAGCATTAGACAGATCTTCCAGATAGAAAATCAACAAAGAAACATGAGACTTAATCCGCACTACAGACAAAATGAGTCTAATAGATATTTACAGAACATTTCATCCAAGACCTGCAGAATACACATTCTTTTCCTTAGCACATGGGTCATCCTCAAGGACAGACCATATGCTAGGTCACAAAACAAGTCTTAAAACATTTTCTTAAATTGGAATAATATAAAGCATCTTCTCTGAGCACAATGGAATAAAACTAAAAATTAATAACAAGAAATTTTGGAAACTATACAAATATATGGAAATCAAACAATATGTTTTTGAATAACTACTGGTTCAAAAAGAAATTAAGAAGAAACTTTTAAAATTTCTACAGGATCTAGAAAATGATAATGGAAATATAACTTACCAAAACCTAGGGGATACAGCAAAAGCAGTACTCAGAGGGGAGTTTATAGCTATAAGTACCTACACTTAAAAAGAGGAAAAACTTCAAATAAACAATCTAACAATGCATCTTAAAGAACTAGAAAAGCAAACCAAACCACACCCAAAATTAGTAGAAAAAATAAATAATAAAGATCAGAGCATAAATAAATAACATTAAAGTGGAAAAAATTACAAAGAATCAATAAAACAAAAAGTTAGGATTTTCTAATGTAAACAAAATTGACAAACCTTTAGCCAGACTAAGAAAAAAGAGAGAAGATCCAAATAAATAAAATGAGAAATGAAAAAAGAGACATTAAAACTGATATTACAGAAATGCAAAGGACCATTAGTGGCTACCAAGAGCAACCATGTGCCAATAAATTGGAAAATCTAGAAGAAATTGACAAATGTCTAAATACATGAAACCTACCAAGACTGAACTGGGAAGAAATCCAAAACCCAAACAAATCAATAACGAGTAATGAGATCAAAGCTGTAATAAAAAAGTCTCCCAGTAGAGAAAAGCCTGCAACCGATGGCTTCACTGCTGAATTCTACCAAACATTTAAAGAATGACTTATACCAATCCTACTCAAACTATTCCAGGAAATAGAGGAAGAAGGAACACTTCCAAACTCTTTCTATGAAGCCAGTATTACCTTGACACACACACACAAAAAAACAGAAAAAGACACATCAAAAAAAGAAAATGATAGGCCAGTATCTGTAATGAATATTGATGCAAAAATCCTCAGCAAAATACTAGTAAATCAATTCAGCAATACATTAGAAAGATCATACATTATGACCGAGTGGGATTTATCACCCATGGATGGTTCAACATATGCAAATCAATCAATGTGATACATCATATTAACAGAATAAAGAATAAAAAACATATGATAATTTCAATTGATGCTGAAAAAGTATTTGATAAAATTTAACATCCCTTTATGATCAAACGTAGGCTAGAAGGAACATACCTCAATGTAATAAAAGTCATATACAATAGACCCACAGCTAGTATCATACTGAATGGGGAAAAACTAAAAGCCTTTCCTCTAAGATGTGGAACATGATGAGGGTGCCCACTGTCACCATTGTTATTCACCATAGTATTGGAAGTTCTAGCTAGAGCGATCAGACAAGAAAAAGATATAAAGGGTATCCAAATTGAAAAGGAAGAAGTCAAATTATCCTTGTTTGAGGATGATATGATCTTATATTTAGAAAAAAACTAAAGACTCCACAAGAAAATTAGTAGAACTGATAAACAAATTCAGTAAAGTTGCAGGATACAAAAATCAACATACAAAAATCAGTAGCATTTCAATATGTCAACAGTGAACAATGTGAAAAAAATTAAAGTAATCCCATTTACAGTAGCCACATATTAAGATCTCTATAATGAAAACTATAAAACACTGATGAAGGAAATTGAAGAGGACACCAAACAATGAAAAATATTCCATATTTGTGGATTAGAAGACTCAATATCATTAAAGTATCCATACTGCCCAAAGCAATCTACAGATTCAATGCAATCCCTATCAAAATACCAATGACATTCTTCACAGAAATAGAAAAAATAATCCTAAAATTTATATGGAACCACAAAAGACCCAGAGTAGCCAACGCAATCCTAAGCAAAAAGAACAAACCTGGAGGAATCACATTACCTGACTTCAAATTATATTATGGAGCTATAGTAACCAAAACAGCATGGTACTGGCATGAAAACAGACACATAGATCAATGAAACACAATAGAAAATGCAGAAACAAATCCACACACCTATAGTGAACTCATTTTCAACAAAAGTGCCAAGAACACACACTAAGGAAAAGACAGTCTCTTCAATAAGTGGTACTGGGAAAACTGGATATCCATATACAAAAGAATGAAAATAGATCCCTATCTCTTGCCATATACAAAAATCAAATTAAAATAAATCAAAGACTTAAATCTAAGACCTCAAGCTATAAAATGACTACAAGAAAACATTGGGGGAGATCTCTAGGACGTTGGTCTAGGCAAAAACTTTTTGAGAAATACCCCACAAGCACAGGTAACCATAGCAAAAACAGACAAATGGGATCATATCAAGTTAAAAGGCTTCTGCATAGCAAAGGAAACAATCAACAAAGTGAAGAAACAACCCACAGAATGGGAGAAAATATTTGCAAATGACCCCTCTGACAAGGGATTAATATCCAGAATATACAAGGAGCCCAAACAACTCTACAGAAAAAAACTAATAATCTGATCAAAAAATGGGCAACAGATTTGAATAGACATTTCCCAAAAGAAGACATACAAATGGAAAACAGGCATATGAAAAGGTGCTCAACATCATAGATCATCAGAGAAATGCAAATCAAAACTACAATGAGATATCATCTCACTCCAGTTAAAATGACTTATATCCAAAAGACATGCTAACACAAATGCTGGTGAGGACGTGGAGAAAAGGGAACCATTGTACACTGTTGTTGGGAATGTAAATTAGCATAACCACTATCGAGAACAATTTGGAAGTGCCTCAAAAAACTAAAAATTGAGCTATCATATGATCCAGCAATACCACTTCTAGGTATATACCCAAAAGAAAAGAAATCACTATATCAAAGAGATATCTGCACTCCTATGTTTGTTGCAGCACTGCTTATATTAGCTAAGATTTGGAAGCAACCTACATGTCTATCAATAGAGGAACGGATAAAGAAAATGTGGTACATATACACAATGAAGTACTATTCAGCCATAAAAAGAATGAGATAATCATTTGCAACAACATGAATGGAACTAGAGATCATTATGCTAAGTGAAACAAGCCAGGCACAGAAAAATAAGCATTGCATGGTCTCACTTACTTGTGGGATCTAAAAATCAAAACTACTGAATTCATGGACATAGAGAGTAGAAGGATAGTTACATAGGCTGGGAAGTGTAGTGGGAGACTGGGAGTGGGGAGGTGAAGATGGCTAATGAGTACAAAAAGAAAACAGAAAGAATGACTAAGACCTTCTATGTGATAGCACAACAGGATGACTATAGTCAATAATAACTTAATTGTATATTTTAAAATAAAGAGTGTAATTGGATTGTTCATAAGTCATTAAGTCAAAGGATAAATGCTTGAGGAAATGGATACTCCATTCTCCATGATGTGCTTATTGCATGCCTCTGTCAAAACTTCTCATGTACTCCATACATATATGCACCTACTGTGTACCCACACAAATATAATAATAAAATTTTTAAAAGGAAGGATTTAAATTCAATATTCACCAAGAAATAATACATGCTTTTGATTTTTTTAAAGGGAAAGTATCAGCGAAATGAATGTACTAATGGATTACACTTAATGCAAACAGAACCTCTGAGCCTCAGTTTTTTCATCTGTGAAATGAACTTGATTTAATCCCCATCCATTATCAAATTTGTTTATCAAATATTTCCATTTAAGAACTTTAAGGAGCAAAGGAAAATGAATATTTCCTGGGAGAGCCAGAAGTACTGTGCATCCAATCTATTTTCTTCTTTTGGGAGGAGGGTACGTATGATAATTTAGTACGTTCATATAATTTGTACAGAAACCAGTGTACCTGGGATATCTATCACCTAAAATATTTGTCTTTTCTTTGTGCTAGAAACATTCCTAACCTATTTTCTGAAATTACTTGTATTTCATTTCCCACAATTTTGGGGATTTCATAATTCTAGTCCATAAAATGTCAGTGTTTACCTTAAAGAAACAAAACAAAACAAAAGTAAACTCCTGGATCTGTTTTAGAACAAAGATACCATCAAATCCTAAAGAGCAACTAAATTCTATTCTTTGACAAGTGAATTTTAACAACTGTACATCATGTCAATCCCTTCTAAAACAAGGGTACCTTAAAAACAAACCATGATCTAAGGATAGAATTAGGAGGTTCAGAACTCACAAGAAAACAAAAATGTCTTGGGCTCACTAAGGGCATAGAAATGGTCACTTACCCTTTCACCATTACACATCAGCCCCAACCAGATTCCCAGTGCTTGTCCAGAAAATAAAGGACCCCCAACCTTGGGGAAAAGCTCAGAGTTGGGGACCAAGAGAACCAGGGACCAAGTGTTCTCCTCTGCCCTCTTCCCCCACATTGCAAAGCTTCAGACAGTTTCATTTGCCAAACATAGCATCTCACTTCCCTTCCCCACATGGCTCCCCTACCCACCACCACCACCACCACTACCACTGCTCCCCTCCCACCGCCCACCACCACAACCAGTTCGGAAGGCTTATTTTTAAACTTGCAATAGCAATGCCAAATGCAAAGAAACTCATTACATTTGATTTTCTTTCAAGTCACCTCACAAATATGCTTTTTAAAGCATAAGGAAAACACTCAGAGACTTAAATTGCTGCTTAAAACTGTCCTCCGTGATAGCTTTCTATTTTGCCGCAAACACATGGAAAGTAGGCCCGAGTGCTCTGAGTGCTTTTACTCAATAGTCATCGTATGAATTTCAATCGTAAAAAAAGTTCACCAAGTGTTTAAAAATGTGTTTTAATTATATTTTCATGAATTCCAGGAAGAACATCATTGCAGTCAATGTTACAAAAAAAAAAAAACAAAGAGGGACATCTGGACATGCAATAAAAAAGTGAATTCACAGTGAAAATAATGCATGTCAGTACTAAAATAGAGTTGCTTGGTTCCCTGAAGGAAAAAGGTTTCTTCTAATTATCTATTCACTCGGATTTTATTATGAGAAAATATTCTTTGAAAGCTTTGGGGAAGTTTTCAGTTTGTGCTACTATTATCATTAGCGTCTGATGGAAGTCCCTCATTCTGAAAGCCATTGTTCGCAGTCTGTCATTCAATCAGAAAATTCAAAAGTACAAGTAGTTTGGCAACTGGCTTCTTGTTACATACAAAGCCATTAGCAAAAATATGTAACAAAATTTATGTAAAACAAACAATTTTGTCCTTATATACAAAAGACGGCCTTCTTCCTCACACCCTCACAGCCTATTCCAAAAAGTGGGGAGGGCATGGGGAGCAGCTATCCATCCCCTTTAAACTCTCTTTATGGGTGGGATAAGAACATCCTAAAAGGCAAGGTAACTATTTTAAAGTTTTTAAAACTGAGTTATAAAAATGCATCTGGGCTTCTCAACAAAGAGGGAAACGTAGGAAAAATGATAACAGATTAAAGTAAGGAATTCATCCCTTTGTCATTTGCAAAGTCTCTTAATCAACTCAACAGTTAGAGAGTAAAAATGACTACATTTGTGACGCAATCTGAGGACACAGTAAAGGACATCTTGGTGAAATACACACACATTATAACCCGAGCTGCTGAGGAGTTTCACATCTAGGGCATGCACATATTTCATACTGATAATAGTTTACAACACCTCAAGGGAGAAAGATCATAATAGGTACATGGGAAACATCACTAAATCTATATACAAACGCATTAACAGGGAAAACACATGAAGTCAAAAGGAGACCGAAATACAAGTTTAAAAATACATTTGAAAATCATTCCAAAGCCAAGGAACTTATTTACTGAAAACTCCGACATTCTACAGAATACCTTGTAAACCTTAAGAATGCAGTTTTATTAATTCACAGTCTCAAAAGAAAATAAATTTCTGGTTTATCATCACTGCTTGGCTCAGTCTGCAAAACAGAATTATCTGAACACAACTGGTCAACATGGCCATAGTGAAGAGCTGTGCATGCCCCCTCCGGGATGCCCCGGCCTTCAAGGCCACCCCCTTTCGTGTTCTTCAGGTAGCCTGCGATGTAGGAGCCGGTGGAGTGGCGATTCACTGCAGGGGTGGGTGCTGAGGGTTTGTTTCTAAGAACCACGCCTGCCCCATTGCTGGGGTTTGGAACTTTCTGCTTGTTGGCTTCCTGTTTCTCCTTGGCACGGCTAGCAATATTGCGCACTCTGCTCTGACTTCTGGATGACAACTTCCTGACTAGTGCCCGGGGGAGCTGATTGGCATCCTGCTTTGAATATATTACTTGGCAGCTGTCTTCCTGGTCAAAGGACACAAGCTTCCGAAGCTGCTCGGTCAGGGCATCTATAGGCTCTAATGACTTTTTCTTCACAGTCACACCCTTCTTGTCTTTAATGCCAGTTGTAATAAAACTCTTACTAATACACTGGTACTTGCTCTCAAAATTGCAGGCAATGTCCTCTGATGTTAAGTCCCCCAGACTTTTGGATTTGCAAGGACTGGGCAATTTCAGAGCAGGCAAAGGAAGATGTGCCAACTGCTTAGGTACAGGAACATGCATATCTTGAGCACTAGACTGCTGGGGCACACAGGTCTGGAACATTTTTGCATCTGAATCTGAGAAATGGTTATGCACAAAGCCAGCACCCTGATAGGCTAGATAAGAAATACTTTGAGTTTTGACATCTTGAATACTGTTGAATATTTCAGGGACAGAAGGGTGGTGGGTCTCTTTACAGTAGCCATTTCTCAAACCTCTTTGAAAGTGTTCTACCACACCCTGACTATACTTGAGTTTTAAAGGAGAAGCAAGTTGACTTGTGCTCTCTCTCCTATGTTCACAGGTGGTTAGAGAAAGATTTTCTGATTCTCCATCAATTTCCACAAGGCTGCTCTCCCCAGAATTGAAACAGAGAGTGGGATCAGCTATTACATCCTCCAGGGTCAAATCAGGGGAAGAGGCAGGGCTGCAGCTCTTCAGTGTTTCCCAGTCTTCTCCCTTGGTAGGACTTTTTGGTAACCAGTCATGAGAAGTATTAGGGGACCCAGGAAGGTTGCTTTCTACAGCCCCTGTCTTGGCCTTACTAGAAAGGTCATCATCTGGTTTGGTTTTAGAGATGGGAGTGCAGGTAGTTTCATAAACTGTGTTCGTTGCATGTTTGGCGGTCTCAGGACTCGAGAGTGCTATCAGCTCCGGAGATGAGCACAGGAAGGAAGACTTGGATTTTCCCTTGGAAAAACCATGCTTGATGGGCATTTTTAGGCCCACGCTAGGCAAGGGACAATGGCCTGACATCACACTGGTATTATGAAGATGAGAAACAACTGTGAGAGCCTGATCATTGGTCTCATCAAACTGGCCAATCAGGGCTGAGATGGAACTGCCTGGCTCATTCTCATTTGTTAAAGTGACATTGTCAATAAGATGGGAAATTTCACTCTCCTGCAGAATTGCAGTTGAATGTAGGTCAGGTATGTCAGAACACAGCATGGAAACATCTGACAAAGAAAAGGATGTTGCAGCTCGGCCCTTACCCCTATTACCTTCCAGGTCCTTAATTTCTAGGTTGCTATGAGAAAGGATACTTCCTGACAAGATGCTTTTCCCTTCCACAAAGCCCTCAGCATTCCCCTTTTCCTTGATTTTCATACCATGTAGATCTTGTGTGGGGTTAACTACAGGATCAGGAGCCAAATGCTGCCTTGGGGAGAGAGACTTGCTGGGACAGGGGTTTTCCTGGCAATTACTTGTGGCATTTGATGTGGTTCTCCCACCCCTAGGACTTGACATGCCCAGCTGTTCTCCTGTGACTGACATGTCGGCAGTAGATACAATGGCGTCCCCTTGGATGATATCTTTGTGGAGAAGAGCACTGGAGGAGGACGATAACTTTTTGTTGAAATTTAGAAAATGTGGATCTTTTATACTTGCTTTCCCTTTTCTTCTGCCATCTTTATCTTCTGCTGAAGGAAACAAACAATATTTTAGATGACATGTATCACTTTATGTACGACCTGCAAACACTCATGTTGTCTTCAGACAGACAAATGGAGAATGTAAATCCGTTACACTGTGACAGAATATAATTATGGATTGCATAGGTTTGCAACGAAGTGTCTGTGTGATGAACAAATGGTAAAATATATTTATAGGAATTTCACTGAAGCTTCCCTTTGAATATCTATTACATCTGCTAAGGATGTAATATTCATTGTCAAAAAAATGTCAATGAGTTACCATACTTTTACAGTGAGGATTACCTTAAGTTGTTTCCTATTCAGATTTGTACTACACAGAAGCATGGCAATAGAAACAGAACAAGACAGCTCTGTTAAACAAAGCATTGTGGTACCTGTAAGCAAGATACTATAAGCTTTCAAAGTTATACATGTATTAGTTAAAACAAAAAAAGAAGAAAAGAAGAAAAACATAATAATGTCATTTTCGAAACATTTTGGGAGCATATTTAATTTAATCAATTTCTAAAATAATTGGAAGGTGTAATAAATGCATTAAAATATCAATATCCATTGAGTTAAAATGTAAAGATAAAAATTGGTCATCAATTCCATGTCATTGCTAATATCTATTTTTTGTTAATGATATATTTCTTTTTAATACACAAATTTCATATTGCATCCTTCCCTAAAAGTGGCAGTAAGTTGTCAGACACAGTAAAGGAAAACCATAAAAACACAATTCACAGTAATTTGGGATAGCCCAGCACGGTTAGTATACTGCTAGGAGAGTATGAGGTATTCAATTCTTGATCAGGTTATTTTAATAATATAATGCTTCCAGAGTCATGATATATAAGAAAAAAGAACTTGTTCAACTTATTATTAAATAGTTTCCAAACTAAAAATATTCATCATAAAAATTTTGAAAACCTCAAAATATTATAAAGAAAAAATTAAATACCATATGATGTTACCACTGAGACAGCCACTGTAATATTTTGCAAAGGAACAGAATAATATATAGAATTTTGTAGTCTGGGGGGCCGGGCGCCGTGGCTCAAGCCTGTAATCCCAGCACTTTGGGAGGCCAAAACGGGTGGATCATGAGGTCAGGAGATCGAGACCATCCTGGCTAACACAGTGAAACCCCGTCTCTACTAAAAAATACAAAAAACTAGCCGGGCGAGGTGGCGGGCGCCTGTAGTCCCAGCTACTCAGGAGGCTGAGGCAGGAGAACGGTGTGAACCCAGGAGGCGGAGCTTGCAGTGAGCTGAGATCCCGCCACTGCACTCCAGCCTGGGCGACAGAGCGAGACTCCGTCTCAAAAAAAAAAAAAGAAAAAAAAGAATTTTGTAGTCTGCTTTTTCTGTACTTAATGCAATATAACTATGTATCGTTTTATATATACCAAAAGTTTAATACACATGACTAATTTATATAACTGTTTTTTAAAAGTAGAAAAGAAATATTACCTCAAAATTGCTTTCTAACTCACCTTAATGGTATTAACATCTTAACTGTGGCATTAACAGGATAGAACCAATTTCTATTGAATATAGCTTTATTTTTCCCAAAGATGGGATTTTAAAATACATTTTAAGGCACATATTTTATCTCTTCTCTGACACTGCTTTTAGCAAAATTTCAAGCTTTTAAACGTTCTTTTTCTCCTTCAAATAAACCATTCAAGAATATCTTATAACAAAAAATCAATACAAGTAAAATGGTGTTTGTGGGAAAAGAGAGCACTGAAATTAGACCGTTTGATAAAAGATAAAAGAACAATTTTGCTAAAGGAAATCAGTACCACATTTTAGTTGTCTGAGATGATTCTGATTTAATTAAAACATATTTGTTGCATAGATATCAAATGCACACAGTTTTGGCACTTAAATTTACCCCCAGGTAGGATGGGATGGGAGTCACCGACATCAGTCAAAAGCTCTCTGGCACACTGCAAGGCGGTCTTTACTCTGTACTGAGCTCCTGATATGAGTCAATGATACACTCAAATTAAGGAAAAAGACAGGCAGCACCTGGTCCCTATGCTTGTGGAGCCCACGACCGCGCTAAAGCTGCAGGCACACCTCCATCCCTGCCAGCATCCAAGGATCAGGGAAGTGAGGCCATAGGAAAACACTGCGCGAGCCACCTCTTGAGAAAAAAAGATTTGCTTGTTTTTGAAAAACGTGGCTTGTTTTTAACAACTGGCTTTCTTTCTCCATAAACATTTCCAATCACAGAAATGTGTCATATGTAAGAAAAGTAATACAACCATATTCACCCTCAGAACAATCAGTAAATATGGCATTCATTTGGAAAACCAATATTTCGAATCCTATTTTGCAGGTTTCATCCTTCCTCTCTGTGCCATCACACCTAATGGCTCCCCGTACTCTCATTGTCAATTTCAGATGTTGATATTATAAAGCTCTTGGTGAGCAGGAAATGGATCTACCTGGCCCCCAACGTTTAAAATCTTCTCGTCTAGAAGATCACATTAAAAAGTATTTATTCTTCAGTATATTTTACTTTGACTACAGAATGTCAACCTCTTCATAATGGTAAACAGACACTGAAATGCAGCCTAGAAGGGTTTATTCTTAGAGAAACTCAAAGTATCTTACCCAGAAAGTTTTCTTTTCCTTCAATGTCTTTTGCTGTTTCAGATACAGGCAGCGACAAAGCTCCCAGAAGGTTTCTGTCAACAGGCATGGAGACAGGACGTGCTTGCAAACTGCGTGTGGTCCTCCTCAGCACGCCATCTTGGTCTCTTGTGGCCTCGGACACTGAATCCTTTATCTCCACCATTTCTTGGAAGCCCATTTTGCTCTTTTTCCTGCCTTTGGCCGGGGCGCTGGCTGTGCGTCGCAGAATTCTATCTCCAATCGATCGTTTCCGTACATAATGGGAATTGTTTTCTGCAGAACTGTGCCTAGGATTCTTATTGAACAGTCCCTTCAGACCCTGGAGTTGTCTATTCTGAAGACACAAAAGGACCAACCACAAGTTAAGCAAATGCCATCACATCAACAACTTGCCTTTAAAATAACAGCTCCATGAAAAATGAATATAAACCAAAATTGTACAGCCACTGAAATATATTCACGCCAAGAAAGCAGCAGCTCACAGCATGTTTGCACAACTTCATGCACATCTTATCAATCTTACTTTGCAAGGACTTCAGCCTTCCATTCTTACATCAAGCTCTCCCAGAAGTTTCCTACCCAGAGATGACAAAATGGTAGGAAAAGTCTCCACAGCTCATAGACTGCTACGAACTTCAGGCGCCTTAAAGCAACAGATGCATGTTTCAAAGTGGTAAGCAGGAAAATGGAGTGATATGAAAAAGCATGCTGCCATAACCACTTAAAAGAAATATGCCAGCCAGAACAAAGCACCATGCTGAGAAACTACCTTTGTAGCTCCTAGAAAGTGCAATATAGTATAACTGGGATTGAGTATTAAAGGGCTCCACTGTAAAGGAAAAAAACAAAACACAACAAAACACAATTGGGGCTCATTGAAGAGGGTGTCACAAGTAAACACAAAAGAAAAAATGCATACATGTCTATAAACCCTTTCTGTTAGTTTCAGGGATTTTCAGTCTTATGCTCATTCATTGTTCAACCAATACCACTACACTGTGATGTGTGGATCCCAACCCGAACACATCTTGAAAGGAATAAAGAGTATGACTCATAAATGGACATTTATTTAGGAGAGAAGATGGGGATGATATAGAACACTTTCAGATTTTAATTTATTTCTGGCTCAAGTTTTAAACAAATTCAGAATTTAATTGTTTCCCTCAATGTGATAAATGCTAGAGATAATCTGTAGTTAACCTGGGATTCCTAGAATTCAAGAATCATTTTTGAATTATTTACATTTGTGTCTACGTAGATGAGAGGCAAGGTCCCAACAAGCAGCACAAACAGAAATCCAGGACTAAACACAGAAAGTTATGGTATAAAACTTCACCAGTCTTAGAAATTAGGATCCTTACCCTCACCTCCACACCCTTGCTGACTGATATGAAAATAAACATTACACTCCCTAATTCAGGCTGAAATGGTTCATTCCTTATTAGCTGGATTGTAGTCATAATCACATTAATATTAGCCAATATTTCTGAGCATTTACTGTGCACCAGGCAGCTTTCTAAGAAATATATTTATTTATGAGGCAGGTATTATTTTTATCCCACATTCACAGATGAGGAAGCTTCCAGCTATACAGATTTTCTGGTAAAGAGCACGAGACATTTCTAGGCCCCATTCAATGCTTTAACAGTCCCTCCAAATCCCATGTGGTCCTGAAAATTCATACCGGTAACCAAGTCCCCAGTTACTTGACATGACCAGAGGACAACCTACTGGTTTGTAAACCTCAAATGAGTTCTATAACCACGACAACAGCATCAGGAAAGAACTAGAATGCATTTTTGTGGTCTCCTTCTTTTCAGTTTTAAAATAGCTTTAAAATCCATTCACAATTTTTAGATTTTCAGTTAAAAACATTGGTACCAAATGAATGTAGCCTGCCTAGAAGTGGCTGGGATCACAGACCAGTTAGTACAGGTAATTCATCAACCATCTGAGACACTACGTTTCCCACTGAGGTCAGTTGAGTCTTTTTAAGGATTAAAATAAAATTCAACATTTAACTGTATCTTCATTGTTTTAGCCAAACAGATTACTGCCTGAGAGAATAATAGTTTTCTCAATTCTATTAAGCCCAGAGAGGGCGCCTGTGTAGAAGGAATGAGTACACACCTTAAACAGTGAAAAGAGTACAGGTGGATCAGGACATGACTGGAATAGCAGACTGGGCTTGCTGGGCTTCCTTAGAGTTTTTGGTCCAAGCACAGTTTGTCAAAATTTACATTCCTATTATGCAATTAATCAGTAGCATTGTTGAGGACCATATTAATGTATATGACTTTAAATCCTATGATCTTTCTCACCTTTCCATAGATTTCATTGATGGTTATGTGTACAAATATGGATGCTTCTGTCAGTCCTTCCAAATAGACATGCCGGTAGCCTAATAAAAGGAAAGACAGTCATTTCTTTTTAGTTGAACTTGCATTTAACTTTCTCATGGGTGCAACAAAATTAAGTATCTGACTTGACTATAGCTCTTTTTTTTTTTTTCTGAGACACAGTCTTGCTCTGTTGCCCAGGCTGGAAGGCAGTGGCATGATCTTGGCTCACCGGAACCTCTGCCTTCTGGGTTCAAGCGATTCTCCTGCCTCGGCTTCCCGATTACAGGCATGCACCACCACACCTGGCTAATTTTGTATTTTTAGTAGAGATGAGGTTTCTCCATGTTGGTCAGGCTGGTCTCAAACTCCTGACCTCAGGTGATCCTCCCACCTTGGCCTCCCAGATTGCTGGCATTACAGGCATGAGCCACTGCACCCAGCCCAACTATAACCCTTTACATTTTACAAAGCTTGTTAAAAGTCACATTTATTATATGACACATATTTTATATATCACGTATGCTATTATGTAAGTAGCATATGATGTATTATATCTTCCAAAGAAAAAGTAATGGTCAGTCTAGAGAGAAAAGGCCAGCTCATACCTACCAGGCACTAAGCTGCTGAAGGTCACAGTTCTTTGCCCAACAAAGTCTCGTCCAATGGGATCATGATCCCACACGAGGAACCGAACCAAAGCTATTTCTGGCATGTGTACTGTAAATGTCAGCGTTTCTTCCCACACAGGGTTAAATCCTCAGAGAAATAGGAAAAGAAAAATCAGAAAAGCAAAGGACATGGCTGAAAATGACTTGGCAGCAACATCTGCAAAGCAGACGGTGAAAATTGCTTGCAGTGGTTATTAAACTCATGAAGACAACTAAGCCACTCCGGGATGCCTTACTGGAATAAAGCCTCGAAATTTACCCCCTTGCTAGAAAATAATTGGTAAGAAAATTGCCTGTAAATTATCACATCAAATCTATTAATCTTTGATGCCTAACTGTATTGTAGAGAAGCTCTTTAGTATTCAGAATGCTTCAATAAGTTAAAAAATTATCTATAGTAGTGATCTAAGAATAATGTTTTAGCCAAAACAATAAAGAATGATATCCTCTCCCAACAGAATTATGCTTCTCATGTACCAAAGAGTCCGCTGCTGTAATAACCACCAACAAACATTTTATAAGGTGCTTTTGCAGGTTTCAACTCCTATTGTACATACATCATCTTATTTCTTATAGCAATCCTCTAAGTTTTTTTAGAGGATTTTTAGAGTTTTTAGAGTAGAGCAGGGTTTTGGTTTTTGTTTCTAATTAAAAACTATGTATTACTGACTTTCAAAAATATATTACTTTCAAAAACTATACAAGTAACACTCGTCTTTTAAAGTAGGGAATATCAGTATTTACAAGACATTTTGTAATTGAGAAAATTGATGTTCATAGACGATAATGTGCCCAAAGCCACACAAGGCCTTATAGTTAGTGACAGGGTCAAATTAGACTGTGCACTATTGATTCCCAGTAGCTCCTCACAAAGCAAGACCTTACTGCATGAATGATGGCATATTTTCACAGCTACTGAAAAATACGTTAAAAAGGTATATTTCACCTCAAATACTAAAATGCAAAAATACATTTACTTGGCAAAATTCTCTCCAATAAAATAACTACAAAAGCTGTTAAAAATTCAAGTACTCCATAAGTTTCTGGGTTTTTTTCCTTTCTAAAAAATGAAAATAAGTTTTTAAAAATGTATGCATTTAAGAGGTATCAGCCACTGAACCCTATTAAAAAGCCTCAAGCTAATGAAATAATTATGAGCTGAAAAATCACTGAGATACCCCTCTTGAATAAGAGAAGATCTATTGACTTATGATGACCTCTCAATTATTTCTGAGACTAAAAAAAGAAAGAATAATCTATTGAACATTGGTGGAAAAACGCAATTTAAGAAGGTTTCTTTCTGTGTACGTGTTTTTCCTAAGTTACAGGTTTGCCCTACTCTGGAACTGTAGTGTTCCTTCAGGGACTCCCTGTGAACCCCTAATTTCTCAAATTAATGATTGTGTTTCAAATGTATTTTACAGTATTAATCACAAGACATTGAAAAAGTAGGTATGCAATAATGTTTGTGAAATGTATGAACAAACAAATTTTAAAAGATTACAAATAAAAAGACATGAGGCTTGGGTAAAGAAAACTTTCTTTATATTATGGCCAAAATATAAGAAGAATGCTGCCCCTCCAATTGTATGAAAATACTCAAGAAGTAAACTCGCCAGACTACGTTGGGCTTGCCTTTAGAGTTTTACATGCTCCAGAAAAAGTGAGAAATTATCAAGGCACATAGGCTTCACAAATGAGAGCTTTAAGAAAACTCATGTCACAAAAATACAATATAAACATATAATGGATGCATTTCCTCAGTGAATTTTTAACCCAGTTCTTTAAAATATCATTTACTCTTCTTACTAGAAGAAAAAAATTCCTTTAAAAGCAAAAGTCTAGAGAACCTAGATTACAACACCATCAAAATAAACCATGCATCAATCCCACAGTTACTTAGTTTTATGTGTTGAAAAGTTTTTAACATAAACTCAGATGGGAGTTACGGATTTTAGAGATTTCTTGGTCATCTACATAGACACTTTTTTTAGTGTAAATTCTATTTCTAGACCATCTTCATTAAAAAGTGAACACAGATTATGATCTTACCATTGTCATCTACCACACGGGTTTGATCTTTACAACAATCTACCGGCAATCCAATAATTTCAACTTCAACAAAAGGGTCAATGATCTATTAAATAAAGAGAAAGTACTATTACAAATAACATTTCTATACATATGTTAATTAATCTGAGAATATTGGCCAAAATGTCTACATTTCGACAGCAACTGATTTTACAAGGTGCTCAGTAAGAAAAAGAAATGGTACTAGGTGTGGTGGATTCAGATATATGAGACAAGTATAAAAAATATTAAATTACTGTTTGCTAGTATTTATTAATGCCAACAAACTTTACCCAGTGAACATACAACTTTAGTTCAGGGCAAATACCCAACAGAACTGAGATGTTTTGCCCATGCACAAATGCTCAGAGCAGCTTTATTTATAATAGTCAAACACTGGAACCTAAATTTCTATCATGAATAGGATGGATAATTGTGGAATATGCGTTTTTTGTTTTTTTGTTATTTTGTTTTTTGAGATAGGGTCTTACTCTGTAGCCCAGGCTGGAATGCAGTGGCATGATCTTAGCTCACGGCATCCTCCACCCTCACAGGTTTAAGCCATCCTCCCACCTCAGTCTCCCGAGTAGCTGGGACTACAGGCTTGTGCACCACGCCTGGCTAATTTTTGTATTTTTTAATTTTGTAATTTTGCTAATTTTGTAATTTTGTATTTTTGTAGAAATGGGGTTTTGCCATGTTGTCCAGGCTGGTCTCAAACTCCTGAGCTCAAGCAATCCGCCCACCTCAGCCTCTCAAAGTGCTGGGATTACAAATGTGAGCCACCGTGCCCGGTCAGAAATATGTGTTCAATGAATACTCTCAACAATGAGAAAAGAATAAAGTTCTGCTATATAACATAATGTTGAGCAAGCCAGACATAAAAGAGTACCTACTCTAAGAGTCCATTTATATAAAGTTTAGGAATAGACAAAATTTGTCTGTTGTGATAGGGGTTGGTATTTGCTATGAAAGGCAGCGGGGAGGGTAGATATTGACTGGGAAGGTGGACAGGGGCCTTCTAGGGATTCTGGATATGCTCTGTCTTGATCTGGGTGGCATAATAATTAATCAAGCTATCCATGTTTGATTCATATACTTTAATTCCCATCCTCTCCTCTAGGGGGAAGGATCTTGTCTTGTTGGTCATCTGTAGACTCTCCTTTGTGGTGCCAGTTCTGGGTAATGAACAATGAAGGAATAAAACCCAAAGAATCTAGAAAGAGCTGATGTAAGAAAGTCTAAAGCGGAGAAAGTAGAGTTCTTAAATAAAGCATTTATGGCGGTACCAAATTGTACAGCTCTATAATTTCCTTCCTTAAGATCCAAAAATGATGGTTTAACAGGCGGGAGCAACAAAGAGCCTGAAATAATGGATCAGCTCTGAGAGGAAGGGCAAGAGCATAGGAGAAGCTGCTATGTAGGGAGAAAGCAAGGGCCAAGAAGGTCTAATGGAAACAATGGGCTAAAAGCTCTGGAAAGAAAAAAGACTGTGGCCACAGATGAAGACATTTTAAAATCACACTACACAAGTACAGCAAATGATAAGAAGAATCAGCACATGGCCAAGGAGCAGGTGGCTGATGGGCAGCAAGGAGGAGCACTGCAGGAGGAGAGGAATGTGGAGGTTATATTATTAACGGAACATTACCTTCCCAGGTTAAGATATACTCTTGGGCAGTGTTCCGTTAATAATATAATTGTCTTTGCACTCCAATTTTAGCAATGCCAGTGTCAACCTTAAATTGTGAATTCAATTGTGTGCACTCATGCCTTCAAAATAGATGATGAACAGCAGTACAACAAGAACTGTGTGACTTACCAATAAATCAGTTAATGTCTGATAAGCTGAGGTCAGTGCTCAGTCATGAACACACATACATCTCTGAAGACATTTCAGATAAAATGTAAATGAACTAAGATAATCACATAATTAACCACTTAGACACGTAGTCATAGGCAACTTACCTCGCCTCGATCTCCAAACATGGAGTCTGGAGGTTTGGGGAGTTGCTGTCCACTGATAACTTTTAGGATGAGCTGCTTTTTGGGGTTGGCAGGAAGAGGGTCACCAGAGAAAGGATTGAAAGTACCTAGGCCAAGTAAAGTATAAGTTGGTAACATAAGAAGAAGCACGCACACATGCACAGCTTAAGCTTGTAAACAAACAAACAGACAAAAACAAATGCTGAATTACATGATCACATAACTATCAGTGTGGCATAGCTGTGGTTTTCATTAGAATCCATGTTCCCAAAGGCCAGTGGCGTGGGCCAACTTAAAGCAAGTGTTTGCAATGCAATGATCAACTGTGGAATGGAGGAAAAGAAGCATTTTATTTGAACACCAACAGTGTGGAAAGAAGAACAATTATGTCAGATTCAAATAATTTTCTAACCTAAACTATCTCAGGTATGAGTGAATATAACAAACAGAAAGAAGACCTGAAATTAAGTAAACAGCAGAGCAAGAAAACGTGCAAAGCATAAAATCTTGAAGATAATCCTGTCAACAATGTTTTTATCTGAATTGTTGTAAATGTAATTTGGAAATTTTAAAAATAATTTTAATGAGCAGAACCAAAAGAAAGTGTTGTTTGATCTAACACAACATTATCCTTTTTTTGTTTTGTTTTGTTTTGTTTTTTTGAGATGGAGTCTCACTCTGTCACCCAGGTTGGAGTGCAGTGGTGTGATCTTGGCTCACTGCAACCTCTGCCTCCCGGGTTCCAGCGATTCTCCTACCTCAACTTCCCGAGTAGCTGGGACTACAGGCATGCACCACTATGCCCAGCTAATTCTGTATTTTCAGTAGAGACAGGGTTTTACCATGTCAGCCAGTCTGGTCTTGAACTCCTGACCTCAGGTGATCCGCCTGCCTCGACCTCACAAAGTGCTGGAATTACAGGCATCAGCCCCCACAACCAGCCTATCCTTTCTCTTTTGTTAGCACTGTTTTGTAATTGGACTACACTGAGTAAAAGAGCTTGATAAAATTGTTTCAGGTGGAATTGAAGCTTGCCAGCAGGTCACAGACTCACATTACCTAAGATAGTTTCTGAAAGATAGGGCTCAGACCTTAAAAAGCAGTCCAGCTTATACGTGGCACTGGATTTCAAATGATAACCCAATGCCATCCATGTCCCTCTTTCACACACAACCTCTCAAGGTAACATTCTAAACATCATGGCTAACCAAATATTAAGTAGTGGTAACAAGAATTCTAATCCACATTCAAACACCTTAACCTATCTTTTTGGAAAAAAAAAAAAAAAATGTTGAAAAACTCTAGGGTATCACACTTTCTAAACAGCTTCCTTAATAAAGGTTGCCTGAATTTAGACTATGAAATTAACATACACCTGCATTTATGACTGTGAAATTAATACACACCTTTGCACATTTGCTGGGGTTTGAGGACGTAGCCACAGTTGCCATTTGTCTTGAATTTGGCTCGGTTTAACTGCATCATTCGTCCTTCGGATTGATAATTCAGTGCCACTGTGCAAGTTAAAAGTTGGAGAGAATTAGGCAAGATGGTGGCATAGTCAGAACGTACAGAGAACCGCTCCTTCCCAAGGAGTACGCACCTAGCTGGCAGCCTGCGTTCCAGTAGGGGAGCGGGTTGAAGTTACTGGAATCAATGCGGTAGGCAGAGGGGTAAATCCTCGTGAGTTGCTTTTGATTATAAATCATGAACTGCTCTGATTTTTGCTGAACAACCTGATGTGCTCTTGTTTCACTGAATGATAACACATTTCCTGTGGTTCCTGGCAGTTTTTAATAGAGAGAAAAAGGAAGTGAGAACTACAGCAAAGAAAACGCCGCGCACAAAAGACCTTATGATAATGTCAGAGTATACCAATAGCAAAAAGCAGAGCACTAGAGAGTGGATTCAACCAGAGTAGAGGCAGCTTCTCAACAGGAAAGACACATAAAATTCCATGTTTAGGAATGGAATTTTGAGGCCAAATCAGAGCTGTGTGTCTTGCTCCAGTAGGTGTCTATTTCTGGGTCCCCTGTTCTCCCTAAGAATTCAATCATCCCACTAATTTATGACTATCTGACTAGCATGAAAAGAACGGGTAGAAAAAAAAACTTAAACAGAGTATCTTTGCCAAACATATAGGCAACCATGGATAAATAAAACTGGATAGCTTCTTCCTGATAACAGGAAGACATTCATTGAAGGCACTCATCTAAAAGGCACACGTGTAAAACATGTATTAATAGTAACATTCAGGATCCAAGAAAATAAAGGAAAAAGAACAATTACAAGAATAAAAAGTTGAGTTTTAAAGTTGATTTGAATAAGAACTATGGAACAAGCCGAAACCTGTTTGGGAGAAAGGAATCATAATGGAGAAAAAGAGGTCAAAAGCATTATAAAGGAATAAAACTTTTAAGAACAGGGACACTCATTCACCTAGCCACGCATATAAACTATGGAAAAAAGTAAAGGGAGGTAAAAGTACATGAAGCCTGTAATAAAGTTTCTGCCAGCACAATCATCAGGAGGGGTCAATCTAGACTCACAGAAGCTGCAAATTTGGGGGTCACAATGGAGTAAAGCTCCAAACATTTAATATTCCACTCTTGTCTCCAATCCCACCTTTTGTACCATATCTACAAAGCCCCACTATTCCCACTCCTTCACCAAGCACCCACACTCTATCCCCAAAATGGCCCATATGTCCTCCGAACATGCTGGAAAAGTCAAGCCCAGATAAAAAGACCCAAAGTTACCCAGAATCTCATTCTTATTTAGCCCTAATAAGCTGAGTGTGTGTGAGCCCAGACAGAGAGATATGGTCCATGAAACCAACGAGTTGAACTATATATGTCTTGCTGAGCCAGCTGGGCCTGAGTCATATCTAGACTCTGCATGTTTATTAACACACAGTTTCCCAGGGCCCCTGTGGTCCTCAAGGTTGTACACCCTTAGATGTTAGACGCTGTTCAACTGACAATGTACTCCAGAGTTAGAAGAGTCAGGAATACAGATTGTGGCAAAGAAATTAGAGGATTACAGTTTTTAATGTGATAATGTTTCTAGTTTAGACCCTTTCCTTAAAGATATGTCTTCAAATATAATTTACTGGCATAACCTATTAACATAGTTTACATATCTCAAGCATACTAATATTGAACTTATTTGCAGATTTTGATGAGGGATGTTTTAAACATTACAGGAGAAAATATCTTTTTGACAAGCCTAATTCAGATGGAATAGGACTGTAATCAATACTACTGTTTTGTCTGTCTCTCCACATAAATATGCACATCACAATATCATTAATATGACCTTGCTAATTAGGCACATATCAGTTAGTAAATTAATAAAGTTGAGTTGTATCACATTAGGATAAGCCATGCATTCATTATCTAGTTTTCATTTTGTGGCTGGCAAAAAAATTAAAAAGACAAAAACAGTTGAAGTTCAAGAGCTAAACAGCGCTCAGTATTAATTTTCATTAAATTAATAGTATTATGTTTTCCAAGCCATTTATTGGAAATTTTTATTCCCTAAACCAAATATACATTTAAACTTAATGCAATCATTCCCTGAGTTTATTTTTGAGCTAAGGGCAATTGTTATAAGAGTTTGTTGCTCTGTTGCTGAGAATCCTACAGTTTCTCATGCTTTCACATGTGAAATTCATTTAAATCTTGTATAATTGTTACCATTTGAAGAAGGAATCAAGGCCAAAGGGAAGAAATCTTTCTGCAAATAGAAAAAGATACATTTGTGGAGTAGGGGCTGGGCAGGGGGCGATGGGAGGGAAGAATCCTGGAGGTTTGTGAGGACACAATGTTGTTTCCCTTCACTAAAACTTGTTGAGAAATTTGGAGGTTCTGATTTACATTTCAGTTCCACTAAAATTAAAATTAGATGAAAAGCCACATGACAGTAGGTTATTTCTGTAAGCATTCAGTAACTAAATGAAATACAAGATAAAGGAGACAAGAGTAACTAGCAGGAAAGCCAAGGATATGAATAGATGTGACTAGAATTTCTCAGCTCCGTGTGGCAACTGATAGGTGAAAAACAGTGACGGAGACAACGCTACTGAGATTTCTGCTCTTTTTGTTAAAACTTCAATCTGGATTAAGCTATTTTCACCCAAGTCAAAACTTTCACTGAGAAAATATAGGGCTTTTCAAGGTGTGGTTTTAGCCAATTAATTTCTTCTTTTGGTCATTAGCATTTGGAATGGCCATCTATGACCTGGTCCTCAAGCCGGGCCTGGTCTTCACAGTTCAAGTGCTGCAGGGAGGTCTTGCCCTGATGCACTTGTCTTTGTACAGTAATAAAGTCCTCCTCGGCCCTATGGGAACTTTCTCTGGCCTCTGGTCAATCAGGCAACCACAGTAATCAGTAGAACCCTCCATGTCAACTCAACACTATGGCAGCAGTGAGTTTCCTAACACTCAAATTGGTTTCTACATAGTCCCAAAAATGTGTGTTGATAATCGGATTAACAAAAATTCATTAACAATTGAAAGAGAAAGGTCAAGAATGTTTATTCAGAGTGGAAGGAGAAAACTCTTCATTCTTACCGTCATCCACAATGTCCTGAGCGGCCACGGAGTTTGTGTACACAACCAAATCAGAGAGTTCTCGGCAGAGCTTCATGGTTTTCCTTCGGCGACCCAATCTGTGAGGTACCCACATAGGAAGCATAACATTTTGGAGTTGAAAGAGGTTTGGGTTATTGGTTATCCCATTTTCCTTATTTAAGACAATGATTTAATAGGGAATACCTGCCCCAGGTCCTAAGGGAGCCAGGATTGGAACCCAAGTGTGATTCCTAATTCAGTGCTCTTTCTACCACAAAAATCCTACCACAGTAGTCCCCTCTTATCCTCAGTTTCCCTTTCCAGAGTTTCATTTGCCCATAGTCAACCATGTTCTAAAAATATTAAGTGGAAAATTTCAGAAATAAACCATGAGATTTTTTTTTCCTTTTTTGAGACAGTCTCTCTCTGTCACCCAAGCTGCAGTGCAGTGGCGCAATCTTGGTTTACCGCAACCTCCACCTCCCGGGTTCAAGTGATTCTCTTGCCTCAGCCTCCTGAGTAGCTGAGACTACAGGTGTGCATCACCACACCAGCTAATTTTTTGTATTTTCAGTAGCGACAGGGTTTCACCATGTTGGCAGGCTGGTCTCCAACTCCTGACCTCAAGTGATCCACCCGCCTTGGCCTCCCAAAATGCTAGGATAACACCCGGTCATGCATTTTAAATTGTGTGCCATTCTTGGTGGCATGATGAAATCTTGTGAGGTCCTGCCCCGTCCCACTCTGGACGTGAGCCATCCCTTTGTCCAGCATATCCATGATGTATGGCTTCTTATGTGACTGACTGTGGAGGTTTTGCAGTGCTTATGTTCAAGAAACTCTTATTTTACTTAATAATGGCCCTAAAGTGCAGGAGTAGTAATGCTGGCAATTCAGATATGCCAAAGAGATGCTGCAAAGTGCTTCCTTTAAATGAAAAGGTGAAAGTGCTTGACTTAATAAGGAAAGAGAAAAACAATATATAGAGAGGGTTCACTACTATCTGTGGTTTCAGGTGCCCACCAGAGTCATTTCTCATGATAACGTGGGGACTAATGTAATGTGGTTTTATTCACTGCTCTGCCAGGAATCACAGCCTCTTCCTCATGCATTTGTGAGTTCTGCTGTGAAAGGCTGGATTCCCACTGTGACCCAGTTAGAGAGTAACACCAGAGTTCATCAGGAAACTATATGGCCTTTGCAGGGAGAAGACCCGGGCTAAAATGGAACAGAAACACTGTATAGTGGGTAGTGGGCCACAAGAGTTATATACCTAAAGGGTAATATGCCAAATTTCCATAGTGATTATTGGACAGGTGTAATTACAAAGGATGTTAACTTTCTTCTTTATACTTTTTCTATATTCTCCAGCTTTCTTAAAACAAACATTCATTACTTTATCTAGTGCTGCTTTTGTCTTAGATATTTTAATAGTCTTCTCTCTCCTACAAACCACTCCTAGGATCTGCTCTGCAACCTTACAAATTGTATCGCCACTCTCTACTGCAGTCAAGTCCTCCACAGACAATCACATTCCCCTTACACACACACTTTTCTCCTATGGGAAACATAACTACCAAAATCAAACCTAAACATTAGTGTTCAATTAAACTTTATATTTTTAAGCTCCAACAGAATATCTATACATAAAATAGTAACTAATTAGGAAGAGCAGAGGAGGCGTATGTGGTCCGTACCCTAGGGAACAGAAATAATATGTGTTATTGCCTGCCTTTTTGGTTGTAAGTATCCTAGTGGGTGTGAAAAGGTAGTTTTGATTTATATCTCCCTAATGTCTAATAATGTTGAGCACCTTTTCATGTGTTTATTGGCCATTTGCATATCTTCTTTCGTGAGGTTTCTTTTCAATAGTTAGATGTTCCCCTATAGGAGAAAAGTGGGTATATGCGGGGAATGTGATGGTCTGCTGAGAACTTTACTGCGGTAAAAATCAATAGAAAAAGAATGCATGCTCCTTCTTTACCATATAATTAGGAAACTCTACAGCCACTGGTGAAAATCTGATTTTGTGAAGGCTAATGATTATAAATCACTGTGAAGTCATGCCTCACAATTATAAGTAAAACTGTAAGACATTCCGTGAGATGGAGAAATTCTACAGAAAATTAACTCTTTTTATTCCTCATCCTAGAGGTGCCTTAGGTTACTGAAGTCCCAAAACGACATCATCATAGATGCTCAGGGCCCTGATAACTATTATGGGAAAACCTATAGTTGACACTAAGCAGCATGCAAAATGATTTCATATGATACCTGTATTGACGTCTCCTTTGCACACATTAAGATTACTGTAGCTTTCCTCAAACACTGCCTTTTCCCTGGCTATATGTGTCAGAGTTAAGCCTTTCTCAAACTTACATATGACAACAGTCACAGCAGAGGTCTCCCAGAAGGTGATCCTATTATTTTCTCTTTATCCTTTACTGTAACTATATATTCAATTTTCTGTTCCCTAGAGTAGGGACCACATACATCTCCTCTGCCCTTCTAATTAGTTACTAGTTTGTGTGTAGATATTCTGTTGGAGCTCAAATATAAAGTTTAATTGAACACTAAAGTTTTATTCCTACAGGGCTTCTATGCTTCTAATTTCATTTTTCAATAAAGGCAAAAGTGTGTGTATGTATCCATATCTATCTAATGTATATAATTTGTATTTCTTTGTGAATGTTATGGTATAAATAAACTGCCAGGAACTCCTGTAATGAATCATGTGTCACCATTTGGATTCCGAAAATACGGTCATGTTACTCATCACAAATACTATTGGCAATAAAAACAAACAAACAAAAAAGAACTTTTTTTGGATACTTATTTAATTGGGCCAGGGCTTATGGGGCTAATTAGTTTAATTCATTTAATCCTTACAATGACTCTAAGGGACAGATACAATGAGGAGCCAAACGCGTCCCATGTTAAAGTTGGTAAGTGGAGGAGCAAGAATTTGAAATCTGGCTGATTTCAGATGCTTGGCTCCTAACATGGGCTTAGCATCCATCTTCTTTAGTCTCTTGTGACGGCCTTTGTATTAGTTCATGTGCTCCCTCCCTCTTCTCTGAAAATACCTTTGACTTGACAACCGCTGCAGCTAACATTTATAAAGAGCTCATTATGTGCCAGGCACAGTGCTGAGTTCCCTACATAAACTATCATTTCATATCCAGCTGTTCTTCACATGTTCCACAGCACAGAGTACTTTCCTTGTGATCCAATTCTCTAGACATGTACAAGAAAAATGACTAAGCTGACAAGGATGGAAGGGCCTCAGGAGTGTGAGCAGGAGACATGGAGATGCTTTCTTACCTGTACAGCTGGCCACCCTCCTTGACAGTATTCTGCTGTGTGTCTTCCTCATCATCAGTACTGTAAGATTTAGACCGTGATTTTGTAGTTTTCTGCCAGAAAAATCAAAACAAACTTAACAAACTCATTGTATCAAGTATATTTACAACATGCAGAGAATGAGCTGGGCTTTAAAATGCACATGTCTTGCACAAGCATAATAACTTGGAGGGAAAAAATGACCAAATATTGCAGTTTGCTTCACCATTAATAACAAGCATATCTAAGGCCATAATTATATTAAAATGTTAATGCAAAACTGAGAGTTTCATGCTCAGGAAGTGACTTCGAAGACACATAAAGTTGATGTAATAGAAAGACTTTATTAGTCATGCATTTTGAAGGTTTCTACTAGGGGTAGAGTCAAAGTTGCAGTATCTATTTAAATGATTATAAGGGACAAAATGCCCTTTTGTATGGGAAGCTCACTATTAATAAACTGTAAAAGGCACATTTGTTTTTTTAAAAAAGGACATGTAGCAATTTTTTAAAAAAAAAACTGAATAACTCCCATTTCTGCTTTTGATCAGTATGCACTCAAATGACCATCTGAATCAAATCTCCCTTTTGAGATTTTGACCCATTTTCACTTCTATCAGCAGGAAAAAATATTGCTACCCACAGAATATAGGCTGAAAGGCTCCAGGTCTAATCTGATGTCTCTTGGACAGATTAGCTGTTTCACAATAAAACTTTTTTGGGATGGTATGATTTCATCCCCACCAATTTGGAGATAGCCCCAGTATTTAGGCAACACAGACCTCAACAATACAAATGATGGGCAAGGCGTGGTGGCTCATGCCTATAATCCCAGCACTTTGGGGGGCCAAGGCGGGTGGATCACCCGAGGTCACGAGTTCAAGACCAGCCTGGTCAAAAAATGGTGAAATCCCATCTCTACTAAAAATACAAAAATTAGCTGGGCATGGTGGCAGGTGCCTATAATCCCAGCTACTTGGTAGGTGGAGGCAGGAGAACCGCTTGAACTCAGGAGGTGGAGGTTGCAGTGAGCCGAGATCCCACCATTGTACTCCAGCCTGGACAACAAGAACGAAACTCCATCTCTAAGTAAATAAATAAACAATACAAATGATGGGGAAGGACCACCCCAATAATTGCAGACAACCTTGCCATCAAAAATATAGTGTCTACAAACAAAAGTAAGATGTTTAGACAGAGAATCCTGGACATCGGGAATGTGGCTTAGAAAGGGAAAGGGTCTCCATCCCCAAATTACCATAGGACCAGCCACTTTCTAGATTTTCTCATGTTTCCCCCAACCCCCACCCCAAAATCAAAAAAGGTACACGGTTGGCATAAACATACTCAACTTCTCTCTATTGCACTGACAGTGAGGTGCCAGTTTGGTTTGGAACTTTCTCCGGTATTATTTATGCCTTGAGAACCTCAGCATGCAGGTATGGAAGCCCTACCATTTGATGATCTCATGTTCCACCTTTCACGAAACTGGTAAACTGGCTAACCTCACTAGCTTCCTATTGGATCTTTAGAAAAAGTGTGGCAAGAACATCTATTTCAAAGGATTATTGTTGTGATGATTAAATAAATGGCACAGAAAGTCATTCTCTAATCTATATAACATTAACTTTCCATTTAAAATACTGTCAATATTTATTAAAATAATCTATAAATAGTCTCATGGACAACAATTTGTTCTTATAACTTGAGGTATGATAAATTTTAATTAGGTGAAGTACTCCCTAAAACATCTATTTTGAAAGACTATTTTAATTGTAATGACAAGTTGCAAACCAGAAGTGAAATACTCTCTAATTCCACATAGTAATTTGAGTTATACAATAATAAATGTCTTTTTAAGCATCATTTTTACTATAAAATGCAAAAATTAGAAATAATAAATGAATCACCAGTGACAGATAATAACATTGAGAGAGTGATACACTTTCTGGACATCCAGTTTTGACACATCTTTCCATGGTTATCGTACCATAGAATCAACTTCTCACCTTACTTTTTCATTTAATGTTTCACATGTTGAGCTCTTCCAAGGGATCATATTTTAATGGCCGCATAATTGTCCATTATGTGAATGACTCACAGATTACTTACACACTCTTTGGGGGTGAATATTTTGGTTGTTTTCAATATTTTGTGACAATGACTAATCTGACTAGTCTACTAATAAATTATCTCACTGATGGGCAGGAAATTCTATATATGACATTCCTTAAAGTAGAAGAAACGGCCTTACAGAAACCTCATGTATAAAGTAAAGTTCACCATCTAATAATCGAATTCTTATGTAAGTTTTACTGTCAAACAGCTAATCTGTCCAGAAGACACCAGTTAGTGTAACTTTTTTTTATTTTATTGAAGTATAACATACAGTTAGGACAGCACACTGGTCATAAGTGTACAGGTTGATGTCTTTCACAAATCAACCACACATATGATGAAATAGAATATTATCTGTCTCCCAAAAGCCTTCTGATCTTCCAACCCTGTCATTCCTTTCTCTGTGGAGGTAATAACTATTCTGATGTCTACTCTATAGGGTTTCTTTTGCCTGGTTTTGAATTTAATATCAATGGAATCAAACTGTATGTATTCTCTTGGGTCTGGTTTATTTTGCTCAACATCATGTTTATAAAGATCATCATATTATTGCATATAGTTGTAATTTTGTCATTTTCTTAGTTGTTAACTATTCTCTTATGTGAATACACCACAATTTTTATTCATTCTATTATCAATGGACATTTGTACTTTTTCCTCTTTGTACTATTACCAATCTCAATATAAATATTATTATTTCTGTCTTTTTTTTCTTTTGTAGATGGAGTTTCACTCTTGTTGCCCAGGCTGCAGTGCAGTGGCGCAATCTCGCCTCACTGCAACCTCTGCCTCCTGGGTTCAAGCAATTCTGGTGCTTTGGCCTCCCGAGTAGCTGGGATTACAGGCGCACACCACCACACCTGACTAATTTTTGTATTTTTAGTAGAGACGGGGTTTGGCCATGTTGGCTAAGCTGGTTTTGAACACCTGACCTCAGGTAATCCACCCACCTTGGCCTCCCAAAGTGCTGGGATTATAGTCATGAGCCATCGCACCTGGCCTATTTCTGTCTTTTGACATATACCTAACAATAGAACTGCTAAGTCATAGTACGTAGTCAGATACTGTGAAATAGTGGGCCAAAGTAGTTGCACAAATGTGCACAACCATAAGCAGTGTATGAGAATTCAAGTTCTTTGTCCTCACTAACATTTGGTTCTTGCTATCTTTTAATATTATCTGTTGTGGTGGGTGTATATGGAATCACATAGTCATTTAAATTGTGTTTCCCAGATGACTGATAGGTGAATCCCTTTTCTTTATTAGCAATTTGGATATCTTCTTCTGTGAAGTGCCTGTTTAAGGGTTTTGTCCATCTTTTAGAAATTAGGGTGCTTCTCTTTTTATTTATTTATAGAAGCTATTTATAAATTCAGGATAGAATATATAATACACACCCCAGTTTTAGTAACATATATTCATTATGTATTGGATATGTGTATTTAAGATGTTACATACAGTTTTTTTGGATATATTATTGGATATATGTATTCAAAATATTATTTCCCAATATGTAACTTGCTTTTTGATACTGTTGATGTGTAGAAGTTCTTAACTTTTAAAGTAGTTTAAATATCAGTCTTTCCCTTTACTGATGTCCTGTTTAAGAAATCTTCAGTTATTCCAAGGTCATGATGATATTCTCCTGTTACCTTCCAGAATCTTTAAATTAACTGAATTATGCATATTTATTACTCTTAATTCATACCTTATGTTTTCCGAAGTTGGTCATGAGCGATCGTCCATGTGATTTCTTTCCACTTTCCTTTACATCTGGACTCTGAGTAAACAAAGGCACAATATAACTATTTATCTTCTCTGCTTTTGTCTTTTTCCTTAGTTCTGGTGGAATGGCAAGGGGGCCCTCTCTTCTCTTCTGTTTGCCTCTAGGTGAGAAACAAGCAGACTCCACTCATTTCCTCCTGCTCCACACTCCACTACCACAAAGGTGGCTCTGCCTGACTTGGAAAGGGAAATATTGGCACGGAGAGATGGATACCAGCCAGGACGCAGCAGCTGCCTGTACCTTCCCAAAGCTAAGGTCAAGGGCTCTCAGCAGTGTGCAGGTGTGCTGGCCCTCATGGCGCCTGTTCACCAGGCTCTCCACAGCACAGGATGTGTTCTTTTAAATGTTCTGAGTGGGGTTAAGTCATTTTCAGTTAAGTGGGGATTCAGTTTTGGAAAATGACCAAAAGTCATTAGCAGCCAATTCTATTGAATAAAGAAAGTGGATCACATTGACTAAACAGTGCTATGTGGGATTTTAAAACATTATAAATAAATAAAATCCAAGGATATCTATGAGATAATAAGATTGTTTTTGTTTGTTTAAAGTAAACCAAGCAAAGTGTATCGGTTCGCTGAAATAATTCTCTCTGTGATGAGCACTGGAAAGAGGTATTGTAGCCTCTGAATTTTTCCTCACATAGGTTAATTTTCCAGTTAGAGATACTGGGCCAACTCTCTTTCCTGGAGCCTATGTCTCATTAGGGAACAAAAGGCCACCTGCTAAGAGGGTTTAAACTCTTATTCATTTGTCATCCCTAAAAATATGTTAGGTGGTTCAATACTAATAACATGGTATAAGGAGAGACCAGTAGGCCCTACCTGACCAGGACTCCAGCTAAACAGAGGAGAAACAGGTGACCACATAAATGGAACAAATGTGGGTGAGCAAAAACAGTTAAAGCCAAAAGGTTGGGAAGGGCATCTGTATATGCCCATAGATGCTAATCAAAGATGCAAGTAGAGGTGGGAAGAGGTTGGGTGAAGTCCAAGAACTGGTTGGGGAAAGAGCAGTTCAAAAAATGCTGGAGGAGTAATGGTGAGGGGTTTACAAGGTGACTGATGTTAGGTAACTGTTAACTGATTCATGTATGTTTATTGCTTTTGGAGATCTATCAGTGCAGATCATTAACTGTTCAAAAACTGTGGAAATTTTTTTTTTTTTTTTTTTTGAGACGGAGTCTCGCTCTGTCGCCCAGGCTGGACTGCAGTGGCCAGATCTCAGCTCACTGCAAGCTCCGCCTCCTGGGTTCTCGCCATTCTTCTGCCTCAGCCTCCCGAGTAGCTG